TATATATATATATATTCAACCACACAATGTTCTTATTTATTTGATTGTAATTTTTCTATTTTGATTATGTTTATTTTCTATTATTTTTTGTTGGGTTATCCTACCCAACATATTTACAAGACAATATTTAAAAGATAACATAATTTTTAACATTTGATATGTTCTTCATATGAAAGTAATTTGTCCATAGTACTACGACAAGAATTACATGACATTTACGAAAAGTGTGATTTGTTTAACATGTATATGCACCTATATATGTTATAAATTTATAATTAAATATATTTATGTTTAATAATTGAATGGATTAAAATGATGCATCAAAACCAATTATTTAGACGAATATAATAATAATAATAATAATAATAACAACAACAACAACAACAACAACAACAACAACAATAATAATAATAATAATAATAATAATAATAATAAATACACATTTCCAAGTTCCACATTAAACTCACACTACAACCTAAGAGTTTTCTAATTTATGTATATTTGTTGGTTACAACTCAAAAGTTTTTAACTTATGATTATTAATTAGTAATTATTAATAACTTTTTATTTTCCTTTCTTTTATAAGGTTGTAAAGTTTTGCTTATTAAAAACATTAATGTATTTGAAGAGATTTGTGATATAAATATGAAGAGTTAATATAAATGTTATAATAGATGTTTTAGTGTTTTTATGTTATTAAAAGTTGTAGTGTTTATTTTTCATATTTTTTATTATTCGCTGTATATATATCTTTTTTAATACAAATATTATAATAGATGTTTTTCTATTTTTATGTTACTAAAAGTTGTAGTTCATATTTTTGTTCATACATTTTGCTACCCGTTATATTATCATCTTCTTATTTAAAATTTTATAATTGTTAAACATTAAAAAATCAAACCGATATTTAGTTTTAAAAAAAAACCCTACTATCTTCAAGTATGTACTAAAGATATTAAAAAAACGAAAAAAAAGAAAAAAAAATAAAGTTTTTTTTTAAACAAAAAAAATATAAAAAAAAGAAAAAACAATATATAAATTAATTAAAACCGAACATATATCTATTTATAAAAAAATGAATTTTTTAACGAAAAATAAAAAAAAAATAAAAAAACGGAAAAAAACCAAAATAAATAAAAATGAAAAGAAAACTTATTTAAATGACGTTCCATGGACATTCTTCGCATATGATTATTCTCTCGAGTCCGTATTACGTTCTATGCACGTGCGTCGAATGCGAACGCATCATGATCAAGTAAATGAGTTTGGCGTTTGTGCCCTTGATGAAATGATTGATAGATAATAGTTCTCGCGATTCCTACCAATTTTTTGGTTCCTATCGGATCCGGACCCTCTCTCTCTTTCTCTCTCTCTCTCTCT